CACATGAAAATACATACTAACTGACTTGTGCATGGCACTCTACTAACTGCTCTCTAGCGGTGTGCCAAATTTGAGTGCAATCGGCCCGGCCGTTTTGGAGATCTCGAAGCGGCACCCTGCACGTGCGCACGTGCAAAATTGGTCCTACTGACTTGCGCACGGCACCCTACTAACTGGTCTCTAGCGGTGTACCAAATTTGACTCAATCGGCCCGGCCGTTCTCGAGATCTCGAAGCGTCACCCTGCACGTGCGCACGTGCAGTTGCACCCCAACCGTAGCACACGAAAAGGCATGGTCCGGCGGGTGCCTACATCCTTGTGTAGTTTCAGTGCAATCAGCCAAGTAATTACCGTGTTATTGTCATTACAACAAAAGTGACACCTCTCCGTTTTACACGTGTCACGTGCAGTAGGGGTCACCGGCATGCATCATCCTGGTAAATACTTCTAAGAAGGGTATACGCTACCCACACAAAAAACCGCAAGTGTATCGGCCCCTGCTTGCTGAGATATAAGTCGTACAAAACGTCCCCACGGAGGCCGGCCGCTAATATTTAGCATTAAATCGCATCCTTCAATGGGAGGTATCCCCGTCACCTGTTCGTATACTGTCTGAGCAAGACCAATATAGGTGTGAGCTCAAATCTCGGTAATGTCGTGCTTTTTTACTAAATTTCTCAAAAACGGCACAACGTGCAATAACGCTCTATATATCATTGGAAAGAGCATCAAAAGTTGTATATCCTATCAACTTTCACTTAAATATATCTTCAACGTACAAAGTTATTAAGCACCAAACACGCCCCCGTTGACTTCCCAGGTTAATTTTTTCAATTTTAAACGAGCATAAAAATAGCAAACGAATTCTGACAGCTTAACGAAGCATAACAACATGTTCTATAGTCGTTTCTCAACAGGTCCTGAAAGTTAAAACGAAATCGTGACACATAATTTTTTACAATGCACGAATGAAAATAGCTCTGCAAAATTGTCCATTCACTTAACATGGGACACAACAAAATTCCAACTTTGACCTCGTGCAAAGAAACGTTCCGAGATTCTGACGGGTAAACGGCGCACACTGGCGTGTACCGGAACGTGTTGCCATTAAATGCCTGGAAGAAAACCACCCCTTTCTTGGCTCGTTTTTCCGCCATTAGCGATGGCGCAAAAAAAGCCCCAACCCCCATTGACTTAACATGGGGAAAATGGAAACGCACGTGCCACGCGCAAAAGAATTCTGAGCGAGTAGCGACCGGTACCAGCAGCTAGATCGCCTCCGCGAGCCCATGCTCTGAAATTTTTACGAAAATCGTTGCAGTAGTTTGGGCAGGTAGCAAGGTGCCCCAATCCGCGGCCAGACATGCAAAACATAGCCCGATGAACGACTGCTCCGGTTGTTTTTCAATAGAAAAACACAATTCTAACGAATAGTGTTTGTCTTTTCAAACAACCTGCGGTTACCAGCATCTGCGATGCTGGGCTCCGCATCGCGGGACCGCAGGTTGTTTGAGCAAGCACCTCTGTAACGCCGCAAAAACGCCCGCCGCCAAACGAGAGGATGAGCCTTGCACGTGCAGACCGGAGTGGGTGTGCTACGAACTGACGTGCACTGCACTCTAGACCCGGCCGTTTTCGAGATCTCGAAGTGACACCCTGCACGTGCGCACGTGCAGCCTGGGCCCCAATTGACTTGTGCACGGCACTCTATTCGCCGGTTTCTAGCGATGTACCAAATTTAATCTGAATCGGCCCAGCCGTTTCCAAGATCGGGAAACGACCCCTACCCGTGCGCACGTGCAGCTGCACCCCAACCGTGGCACATGAAAATACATACTAACTGACTTGTGCACGGCACACTACTAACCAGTCTCTAGCGGTATGCCAATTTTGAGCACAGTCGGCCCAGCCGTTCTTGAGATCTGGAAGCGTCAGCCTGCACGTGCGCACGTGCATAACGGGTCCCATCTGACTTGTGCACGGCACCCTACTAACCAGCCTCTAGCGGTGTGCCAAGTTTGATCACAATCGGCCCAGCCGTTCTCGAGATCTGGAAGCGTCACCCTGTCCGTGCGCACGTGCAGCGGCACCCCAACCGTGACACATGGAAATGCATTGCCGGGTGCGTGCCAACATCCATGCAAAGTACCAGCGCAATCGGCAAACTAACTACAGAGTTATTAGACTTGTTACTGAACTGACTTCTCATCGTTTTGAACGTGGCACGTGCATTAGGGGTCACCCATACGCATCGAGAATAGCACACTACGTGTAAGAAAGGAAGAAGCTATCCCACACAAAAGACCGCGAGTGAATTGGTCAAGTAGTTGTGGAGATAGAAGCTTTGTAAGGCGCCCCCAAGGCGGCCGAATGCTAATGTTTAGCAATAATCAGTGTCGCATCCGCACACGGGAGGTATCCCCGTCACCTGTTCGTATACTCTAATGTGGTTGGGTTCAAGTCACAGTCGAGCCCTGATTTTTTACAGCTTTTCTTAAAAACGGCACATCGTGCAGTGACGTCCTATGCATCAGTGGAAAGAGCATCAAAAGTTGTATATTATATTAACTTTTCACCTATATATCTTACTAAAGATAAAAGTTATAGAGGAATAAAGACGCTCCCATTGCCATTCCATGTTAAAAATTTTAAATTTCAAATTAACTTTAAAAGAAAAAATGAGTTTTGCCACCTTAACGAAGCATACCAGCAAGTACTATGCTCTTTCCTCTACAAGATATAAGAGTTTGGGCGAAATCTATCTCTAAAATTTTGTACAAAGATCGATTGAAAATGTCTCTGCAAAGTCTCGACATCGCCGTCCATTGACTTAACATGGGATACAGCAAAATAAAAAAAAAACAAAAAAACAACCGCTCCGGTTGTTTTTCAATAGAAAAACACAATTCTAACGATTAGTGTTTGTCTTTTCAAACAACCTGCGGTTACATCAGATAAAAAGTAGCGCAGCAGTGGTGTGCCAGGTAGAGGTTGTTTTGCCGACATTTTGAGTTCGTGTCTGATTTCAACACGTGGCACAACTCCTTAGCGTTCACATGCAGTTGTAAGTAGTAGCTACATGCATACATTTGGAGGCATACAATCTAAGAATAATTATATTGGGGTATTCATCATTACAAGTCCAGCAGCAGCCATGAAGCATTAAAAAAAAAACTCCCCCCAGGTATGCAAGGTGACCACATATGTCTCCATGTGCATACACATTACACACCTGGAAAGCCTGTAATGTAAGTAATGTGTCTCGTGCGTCTATCTATGGTTTCCGATTTATGTACTCCACCAGCCTGAAAATGGCGTCACGGAGCACAGCAGTCGAAAATGGATTGTATTATTTTGTATTTAATCACCTTTGGCTGACGTCAGTCATCGATGACGTCATTGCTCGCGTCTCCCGGCGCTCCGACACTAGTAATAAGCCACTGTTCATAATGTTCTCGATAAATACGTGTACTGTGAATCACGGTAAATAGATTTCTACGACACTGGACGCGGCCGAAAAAAAAATGAAGCGGGAAGTGAGTAAGTAAGACCTACCTGACACACGGGACAGTTGTTTTGAACATCACCAGTTGAACCACGAGGCATCCATATTCCATACCAACGAAAAGTTTTCCATCTCTTGGTATATTAGCCGTAGGCTAATATTCCAGGCAGCGGCACGAGGAGCCGGATGGAGGAAACATGGATGCACGCTTGGTAAGGGCAGGATAGTATATTAGGACGTGAGCTTTACCAAAAGGCATCCACGCACCGCGCTGCCCGCCCTTGACGCAATTAGCAAATAAGTTGGCTCCAAATGTGATAGCCAACTTTCAATTACGTTAATTCAAGTTCGAAAGATGATTGGTGTTACTAAAAAGACTACGTCAAGAGCCCGTTACGATGTAACGGAAGACAAACCAGCCACTCCACACCTAGGCAGTTTTTCACACGCATTCCTGCATTCACACTCGCCATTTCGTGCACCGGCCTGCCCGCTACACAACGTAATATCTATGGCAACTATACTGTCTAAGGCATGATTGTTGCTCCTAATGGTTTTCTTTTTTCACAGACTGGAGTGTGCTTTACATGAAAATATAATGTAGTAGATGATACCTGTTCATTTCATCACTAATCGTGTGAAATGTTCAAATCATGTTGGTATGTGGATAAGAACCGAGACTAGGAATTTAAAGTGTAGAAATGTCGGTGGCTGCTGGACGCATCTGCAACTGAGCTCATGGTCCTAATCATCCGCGAAAGCGACGAAACTACAGGAATGTCACGATAAAGATGCGCAGTACCCTGTATGTTCATGGCATACAGCTGCAAGCTAAGACAAAACTAGAAACGATCTTTGGGTAGAACATATAAAGTGAAGCAATACCAATGCAGAACTACTTGGAGTTACAGGAACCAATGTGTCCAACATATCAATCAGCTAGCATGTAAGGACGCATGTGTAAGGCCGCATATGCAACTGTAACCACTCTTGATAGACTACAAGAATGGAAAGAAAACGTCAACGGAGTAAAACTTCACCATGTGAATCTGCGTATAACTGGCATTCGTGATCAAGTATGCACAACAGATGTGAGGTGAGGACGCGGTGTCATTGCGATACAACATCAACTGATGCAATATTGCAATGCATTTTGCACTCATTCTTGCATATTGATAAGATCAAAAGTAAGGCGATAATGTGAACAAGTGTGTTGACAGATGTCGAAGACTGACGGTGATTACGAACTGATTAACAGGCGACCGGATTGACGGTGATGCGCCTGACCGATCGTTGGAGTGCATGTCGCATCGGATGTCTATGGAAAACGGCAAAGGAGAAAACAGGACTATGGTGAAGGCTGTTCTAACATCACATGAAACGGGAATGAGCAGTAACACCTGCCAATGAAAGCAGTGAAAAACAGCGAAACTGCCGGTTAATCTTGCCATCGTGCTAATGCCCAAAGTCAAGTTTTGTTTTATGTGTGTGTGGAAAGCGGTAGGGCGCTATGCGCTAAGCTATCATCCGTTTTACTTTGGTATCACAATACAAGTATTAGGTGCTCGCACACTACTGCCAGTAGTTCAGTCGGTACTGAGTAGCCTGCAGCTAATAACAACCTGATATTTGCTTCCTGCACAAACGTAGATGGCAGATAGCATTATGGAAGTGTCTTTACATGATGAGTCTGATCGACGATGATGAATGAAATAGTCATTTGAAGTCGTTGAAAGATGACGATGTCCGGGTCACAACGAAGTGACTTAAAACTTGCAGGATGAATAACTGATGATTGGGCCGATGAATGTGGCTTGTGCTGCAGCCGAAGCCTGTGGGGACGGAAGACCGGTGAGGTACAAATGGAGCAAGGAAACGAGACGTGAATGTACACCAAGCAAAATGATATTTAGCTATCATAAGCGTTGACAATGGTGAATAGTCGAGCTGTTCGCCATATTGGACATTCACATCATAGCCATTGCAATATCAAGCTCCCCAAATTGTCATTAGCTTTCGCAGCCCAAGTCCAGTATTAAGTGCTCAAAGAACTTGCCAAGGCAATATAGGCAAGGTTGGCATTGTGTAGGAATGAGGACAGTAAATGATCACACAAAATGTAAAGCATTCTGCAACGTGTTGACAATGGACATTCAAATATGAACACATACCAGCCGTACGCAAGTGTCTTCGAAAATGTTGATCTCTTGATGGTGATGGAGAAGGTTTATCACGTCCACAGGCTTCAAGAAGTCGATCCATTGTCCGCATATTGTTAAATTTGGTCAACACGTGTCCGTTTTCAACGCATGCGTAAACCGATGGCGAGAGCATTTAAGAACGTTTGAGCATGTGACTGAAATACTCAAAGACACAAGTTGGAGGAAGGAGCAGGCGAAAAAAAGAAAGATAACAACGCAGTGTATGAGCATCGTGTTAAAAAATGTAACTGAACAGGAAATGCAATATCATGTGTGGATCGCTCATGAGTGTGAACACATGCTTACATAGATGCAAACCTACACTATACGAAAACATGACTGCTTTTTACGAGAGATTAACTGCTACATTCAGTGGACTGCATCATGTGGTACATGTTTGCGGGCGGAGCATGTCTACCGAATTCATTGGCAATTCAATTAAAACAAACACACACATACGTAGAACTAGATGCTGAGAGCTTGTGTAAGCGGGTGCACAGGTGGCTAATGTATATCTGCAGATAACTAATAGCTAGTGACAAATAAAAAAGTGCCAGCAACGGCCAGCGCAATGGGTGCTCCCTGATCGACGGTAAAATCTTCAACGGTATCGACGGTAAAGACGACTGGTAATTCACCTGTGAAAATAGGAGAAGCAGCGGATGATTAGCTGACATGACGGCAAGTCGAAACGAATCGTCGAGAAAATATAATATGTCAAGTCCGCGGATTTCTAAGCTTATGATTTTTCAATTTCGACGACTGAGAGTGAAAATGCTGATCAGATGAGATATTATATAAATTTTACTAAAACCCTTAGAAGTCAATAGGCAGAGGGCTACAAGCCTACTTGATTCAACGTTGAATACCCACCCATATAGGTCAGTTCATCCGAGTATTACCGCCTTCAAAAAATACTAACGTTTTGTAGGCATACAATACCGTAAAAACGTTTGGAATCTTGGAGCAGAGCTGTTCGTTCAGCTAACAGCATCCTTTGATAATGAAATAGGCCGGAGGCAGAAACTGGCACTTGAGAGTGCAGAGGCAGTCATCACACAGTCCCAGAAGACGTGACTGGACAAGGCGTCCAAGCGGCGCCTGGTCATACACGGTTGCCATTGGATACTGCGAAATCAGCCTGCAGGCACATAAGGACAATGAGTTAAAGTTTTGAACACGCTTTTCGTTCCCTTGTTGCATTATGAACGTATATCTGCTGATAGGTGCCATAGTTCGTCCTAAGTTCGACCCTCACTGTAAACGTCTCTTCGAACACAGCACGAGAATTGCTAGCTGAATTACTAAGAAGAGGAAAATGGTTGTCGCACGTTGAATTTCACTGATGAAAAACTTTATCAAAGTTATTTCTTTCTGGCTCCTATTTCCCAGACCCCTCAGCTCGTATTTGCTCATATTTACAACCCCACAGGGATAGACGATTTGTCAGGAGTGATAACTGAACTAATTAATAAATCGCACCGCGTTTAACACAACGGTATCAATGGGCGCTAACCAATTTTCTCAGTAATTCTCGTGCTGTGTTCAAAAAGATGTTTACAGTCAGGGCCGAACTTTAAAAAGAAAACGAACTATAGTAACTGTCACCTAAGTGACAAATAAAAAATTACCAGCAACGGGAAGCACAATATGTGTTCCGTGGTCGACGGCAAATTCTTCTACGGTATCGACGGTAAGGATGACTTGTACTATACCTGTTGACATAAAGATGTAACGGATGATTAGTTAACATGGCGGAAGGGCGAAACGAGTCGTCGCGAAAATATCATATGTCAAGTCAGCGAATAGCTGCTTATAGCTTATAGTTGTATATAGTAGTTATAAGCTTATAGTTGTGACGTCCGATGGTGGTGAGTAAAATGAATTGCAGGCTAGACACATGATAAATATTAATAAAAAGTATGTAAAGCCAATAAACAGAAGGCTAGAAGCGTAATTGATTCAACGTTGAATGCCTGTATCTAGGAATAAAGGTCATCCTATTCGGGCATCAACGCGTCCAGCAAATATTAACGTTTTGTAGGGATAAAATACCGTAAAACGATTTGGAATCTTGGAGCAGAGCTGGTCGTTCAGTTACCAACATCCTTTGATAAAGAAATAGGCCGGAGGCAGAAACTGGCACTTGAGATTGCAGAGGCAGTCATCACACAGTCCCGGAAGACGTGGCTGGACAAGGCGTCCAAGCGGCGCCTGGTCATACACGGTTGCTATTGGATACTGCGAAAACAACCTGCAGGCACATCATGACAAGGAATAAACGTTTTGAATAGGTACGCTTTTCGTTACCTATATGATCAAACATGACATTGACACAATGACCAAATAAAACAAATCACCTCCAAACGGTAATAAACGTAATGTTTTTGTTTATAAAAAAATCTGGTTGGTAGCGTGTACCATTATGCTCCCATTCCACTTACTGGTCACAGATCCAAACTCATGAAGCTCCTAAGATGCCGTTCATGATGACGAGTGTGTTCAATGAAGCTTCTTCTGCTGCATGATGCACTGGTATGGTATGGTATGGTATTTGTGGCTTACGGGCCACCACAGCGTTCTGTATTTGGGCCCGGTTCTGTCGTCCGTCTTCGTTGTTGGTCCGTCCATTGTCTTGAAGTGTCCGTCGTCTTCTTGGCTCGTAAGGGTGGGCTGAGAGGTGGGTCAGGGTTCCTAGCTATCTCCTCCCGGGTAGCCGGATTGCCCCTTCTATTGTTTTTTTTTTCGTTTTTTGTTTTTTTTTTTGCCATTTTGCCATTCTGGGGTCTTTTATTTTGATTCTTATTGTTTTGAATGTTGTTTTTTTCTTTTTGGCTTCTTTTTTGGCTTTTTTTTGGCTTTTTTGTCCTTGGCTCTAGGGGAGGAGATTTACAGGTCATTTATCAGCCCAGTGTTGTGTCTTTAGTGGATGAGTAGTGTTGTTAGCTCGGGGTGTAAGTCCCCGAGCAGTGTTGTGAGTGTTAGTGGGATGTTGGCGTCTCTGCAGTATGTTTGTATGTTTGTCCTGTGGTGTTGGTATTGTGGGCATGTGAGTAGCAGATGTTTGACAGTGATGAAAGTGTTGCAGGTGTTGCATTTCGGTCTCGGGCTTCTTGTGATGATGTAGTTGTGTGTGATAGCGGTGTGTCCAATGCGAAGTCGTGTAATAGTCCTCTCGTTTTTGCGTGAGTTCATGTTCTTGGTGTGCCAGTGTTCTATGCGTGGTTGAATGCATCATGCACTTCTGGACAGTGATTGATATCCGACTTGCTTGGGCGAGTGTATGCGAGTGATGTGTAGTGGTGACCAATTGTATCAAAAGAAAATGGCATTGAGAACATGATTTGCAAGCGCAACATGCGGCACAACTCACGTGCATACAATGACAAGAAAAAACAGAAAGTGTCGTAAATGACGCCATAAAACATTGTATGGGCTACAAATATCTCCGCAACGCAATCCTGGCTTGAGCTAATTCAGTACCTACTTTCGCGGGAACACTTAAAACTTATGTAGGTAATGCGCATACGACGCAAGACACATATACTACAAACATACAACACTAAAAACACAGAACACGGACATTTTGTAGCAGTATTGCATTGTATCAGCAGCGAGGTGGAAAACTGGCGGCACCTTTGTCTCCAACTACGTGCCAGCAGTGCAATAGGCAGCTGGCATTCAGATCTAGCAATAATGTGTGCTCATGAAGTGTTAATGACAACTGTGAGGAGGATAAAACAATTCTGAATTTGATAGGACAAAACTGTCTGGCCAATGTGTTCCGAGCACAACTCACTTTCCCTGGACATGCAGAGTATGTGTTGCTGTGAGTTACTTATCAGATGTCACATTGCTCTGCTTATGGTAGACCTGCAATATGTGACTTGCATGTAAACCCTGCCAGCAGCATGAAGTTTCGCACAACAAAACTGTTTTCTCTGTGTGGGCTTGCATATTTCGTTGGCAGCAGGCAGGCACAATGCGAGTTCCATACACCACTGACTACATGCACTCATGCACGTATTTACTTGAAAACTAGTACCTATGCACTCATTCACTAAATTACTTGTAAGATGACACGCACATCCTCACATACGCACATACATACCCACACACCCACATCCACCCTTACACACTCACAGGCACACATGCTCACAAATACCAATCATTCAGGGTTTCCGATAAGATGAAGCGTGTCTACTGTTTTCTGCCACATTACGTCATCACCAAAAGGATTGAATCAAAAGTATCTAGGGTTAAGAAGCATAAGCAATTGCTGACACATACTTGTCACTTACTTACTTCTAATATGCCCTACTGCAACCATAAGATTCAGTTGAACCACTTTGCTCATCTTTACTTTCAAGCTGACAATCAGCATTGACGAATCAGCATTGGTTTGGCCTTCATGAAAGCTTACGTCAATTGCGCAAATAACTTGCTTGTGGACGAATGGCTTTTAGTATGAATGCACATAGGTAAAGTGAACTGCGCACATGCTGTGACAAACTTTTGTTTGCCTAGTAAGAAAACAGTAGACACACTTGCTAGTTTGGATAAAGGGATATTCTCGTGCGTGTAAACGGTTAATATATTCGAATTTGAGGTTGACGAAATGTCAACGGTTGTTTGTGACGAACGGGGACTATATAGTAACGGTTACTGAAGTTTGGAGGACGTATCGACTGCTGAAATAATGTTTGCCAATGAACAAGAACATCATGCGATAACATGATTAACTAGATACGTTATTTCCGACTAACATTGCGTCGTAGTTTCGGATACTCCAAATGGCACTTGAAAACGTTACCAAATACTATTGTTTTCGGCCATCGTACAATGCTTGAAACAGTGCCTAAAGCAAACAGTCAACGTCCGTAAATATAGTCTGGTGCAGTATGTGCACTGAGGGTATTGAAAACAACGCTCCTCAGGACATGGCACGCCCGACATGCAGGTCATCGAGAGTACAGTATGACGAGAATATCCCTTTAGTTGTCTAGAAATTGAAGGTCTTGAAGTAGAAGGTCTTGAAGTTGAAGGTCCGCGGAGAAAGCTCGCCACCGTAGACACTATAGCCGGGGATAACAGCAGCAATTGAAATTGCATTTGGCAAATAAGTGATGATGAGGCACAACTGCAAATAGTCTTATTCATAACCACCTTCCATTAGCAACGTGCTATAGTAACATAATTGGCAGAAGAAAGCAGCTCATTTGTAGCCTCATTTGACGGACATTTGTTGAAGGAAATATATCACAAGTCCGCAAACTTTGTTTGGCATGAACGATTAAGCGCTATAAGTTGAAGCATGATCTAACGAAAAAGGAAACAATACCTAAGCTCATGATGCATAGACACCTATGCACTGAGATTCCGGATGCGGCAGTGAAAGCTTGTGTCAACTGACGCAAGGTTGCAATGCTATTTACCGACGAAAAACGCGATTTTGAAGCATTTTCCTGGATGAAGTGAATATAGACTCAGACGTATCAGGCAATAGTCTGCTTGGATAATGATAAATATCAATTAAAGAGAAGCTTTGCACTCACTCATTGTGCAAATGTAGCAGCCTAATAGCATTTACATGAATAAACTCAATTTTATCTTCAATTGCTGCCGTGATATCTTATCCCCGACCTTGCCTCGCACATGACGACCCGTGGGGGGAGTCTGGTATCCACCGCCAGCAATTGTGCACACTGGTTCGGTGGACTGGACGTAAAATGACGCCACTCTACAACAGACTCATGATCTCCGAGTGAGATCGATCTCCAAGTGAGACCTGGGTTTAGAGGCGCTCTAGCATGGAAAGCTCCTCAAGGCTCCCGTCGCGTGCCTCGCAAATGATACGAGCCATACGCGCCCCCCGGGATTTTAGCCCATGCAGGCTGTTTTTTGAGATGAAGTCTCCACTAACGTTACGTCAGCTTGTGCGTCACCAGTTTCAACAACGAGAATAGTTTATGTTTGGATTAGACGGATGATATGCTTCCTAGCAATGTGGATACATAAATGAACTGTCAGGTAAGCTGAAGCCACCAAAGGTAGATTAGATATCGAACAAGTTTTGTGCAATTTTTATAGCACAGTTTTGTTTTTAAAACAAAGAATGCATTATGCAGTCATTGCTTCGTGCATTCCATTGGAAGCAAAGCTTCTAATCATCGTCTGCAAGTGAACTGATGATTTTAAGAATGGACGGCACCAAAGTAGGACGCCGGTATTTGACAGAATACGTTAATTAACACAAATACGATTAAAGGGACCCTCCCACCTTCAAAAAAGTTTATGAATTGGCACGAAAGTGATGTCGCTCGGTTCAGAAAGAGCGAAAAAGAATATCTACCAAATTTCACCGAAAAATATTCACCGGTTTTCAAGATATTGGACTTTTACTTTTGTTTTTACTTTTTGGGATCTCCGCTGTTCCTAGCGACTTTATTTGGAAGCAATAGTTCGGCAGCTCAAAGCAACATATACCACCACGTGCTACAAAACGTTTTAGTCAAACATTTAAAATTCGTTAGATATCTGCGATGACGTCACACATTCAGAGGGGTATTCCTATGCATTAGCCCCTAGGAATCAAACTGCTGCAATTTTGAAATTCAATATTTCCGATTTAAGGCATTTCTCGATGTTGTGAGTGCCGAAACTGGTAATTGTGAGCCAGGGACCCCATTTTGGCTATCTCAACTCAAATCTAATGTTAAGGTGGGAGGGTCCCTTTAAAGGGACCCTCTCACGTTAACATTAGTTTTGAGTTGAGATACCCAAATTGGGGTCCTTGGCTGGAAATCACCGGTTTCGACACTCGCAACATCGAGAAATGCCTTAGATCGAAAATATTTAGATTCAAAGTTGCAGCACTTTGGATTCAGAGGGGCTAATGCATTTGGATGCCCCCTCTTAATGTTGACATCACCGATTTACTTAAACTTTGGTAAGACAATTTTTGCCATGGTTTTATAGATACTAAATTGCGCGTGACATTTCCCGCGCTTTCAAGATACCACATTATTGCTTCCAAATGACGTGATAGGAACAGGTAAGGCCCCGGAAAGGGAAAAAAGTTAAAGTCTTATGTCCAGACTGGTGTTTGATTCACCGTGATTGAATCGATTGGATTGAATCAAACAAAATTTGTTGAATCAAAAAGGTTTGATTCACCGTCCGGATGGTTTGATTCACAAGCCATGATTGAATCAAACGCATTGGGAATCAGGGTTGATTGAATCAAACAAATTAACGATTCATGTACCTTAAAAAAATGAAGCAAACATAGTTCATCAACAAATGTTAACACTACTGCCATGTGATGATAGTTGCATACCAACAAAAAGAACACAACAAATACAATACTATCCCTGATATTTATCTTTATTTTTAAATCGAATCAAAAAAGAATCGTTCAATAACTTTTTGGCTGAATCAAACGTGAATCATTCCTTTTTTATTCTCTGAATCAAAAGGAATCGATTCACCAAATTTTTGGAAGGAATCGAACAGTGATTGAATCAAACAAAAAACAAATGAATCAATGATTGAATCGATCCAAAAAAGATGAATCAATAACCAGTCTGCTTATGGCCCCCCCCCCCAAAAAAAAAAAACGAGCAATATTTTAAGTGAAATTTGGTGGATATTCATGTTTGTTCTTTCTGAACCAAGATACATCTCTTTCATGCCAATTCGTTAACTTTTTCGAGGTGAGAGGGTCCCTTTAAATTTGTTATTTGAATCAAGAGGTGACGCATGTCGCCGCACGAACGACCCAGCCAGCCTGCCTTCGTGGTTAGCGTGGGAGCTCGGTCCACAACCACGGCGATGATGCCCAGCTGTGGAGCCGTACAAGCACAGGCGCAAGACTAAGCAACCACGGGCAGATCTTCTTTGCAATGTGTGGTGTGTGCACGCCACCACACTCCCCAGCAACAGGGATTTACTATGCAGCAAGGGCGGGCAATCGGAGAGATTGCCGGTACGGCGGACAGCCAGGTGCCCACACCGTACCAAAGTAGATATGCTGGGATTTTTAGCAAGCCCTTGGTCTCGAAGGTCTCGAAGTCTCGAAGAATCTCGTTGGTGTTGATGGCGGACAATCTACCAATTGGAGAGATTGCCGGTACGGCGGACAGCATGGTGCCCATTCCGTACCACGTCGACGGCCCATGTCTCGAATAATCTCGCTGATGTCGATGGCGGACAATCTACCGATTGCCGGTACGGCGGACAGCATGGTGCCCATTCCGTACCACGTCGCCTTGGGGCCCAGGTCCGGTCTCGAAGAGTCTCGTTGATGTTGATGGCGGACAATCTACCGATTGGAGAGATTGCCGGTACGGCGGACAGCATGGTGCCCATTCCGTACCACGTCGTCTTCGGGCCCAGTCTCGAAGACTCTCGTTGATGTTGATGGCGGACAATCTACCGATTGCCGGTACGGCGGACAGCATGGTGCCCATTCCGTACCACGTCGGGGGCCCAGGTCTGGTCTCGAAGAGTCTCGTTGATGTTGATGGCGGACAATCTACCGATTGGAGAGATTGCCGGTACGGCGGACAGCATGGTGCCCATTCCGTACCACGTCGTCCCGGCGCCCAGTCTCGAAGAGTCTCGTTGATGTTAATGACGGACAATCTACCGATTGGAGAGATTGCCGGTACGGCGGACAGCATGGTGTCCATTCCGTACCACGTCGTCCCGGGACCCAGTCTCGAAGAGTCTCGTTGATGTTAATGGCGGACAATCTACCAATTGGAGAGATTGCCGGTACGGTTGGCAGCCTGGTGCCTTACCGTTACCACAGCGAGCTGGACTCTCTTTGCTGACGGCCAGTGAAGCATGTTGCGTTGGACAATGTGACATCACTCTAGATTTTCCGTGTTATCTAAGTCAGAAATGTACGGGATGCTTCCAAGAAGTACCCTGAATAAATTATAAATTGAAATCACCATCGTATTTTAGAGAGCATCGACCGTGGAAAGTCACAAATATGTTTATTTCATTTTAGATAAATTTATGTATATTTTGCATGTCCGTGATGCGATATAGACTTGGGTCATTCCACATGATACAACATCTGGCCTGTCGCGCATACTGTTTATCAAAATGTTTTGAAAATCTGACGGAGTGGCGTGTAAAGGCGCACTTTTAGTAGTTTATATTTGCTTAGAATAACCCACTTATTGAATTGATGAAATGAACGCAATTTGAGTAAACACTACAAAGTACAAATCTATGTAATCTTGGGGAAAATTGGGCCACAATTAGTGCACTTGTTTCAAGGTGAAACGATGCGGCGAATAAAAAAAAAATCCATGCTTATAATTTTGTCCCATGCCTTCGAAAACCCGCCACTAAAACTGATAAGCGATGGCCAAAAATAGCCAAACCAGTCAACTGTGCATGGCGAGCAGGCATGCAGGAGTGCCCTTCCAAGCCCATGTGACCCGATTACGTTAATACCGGTTTAATTACTGCCCACTGGGTCACACCACTCCCCGCTGCTGTTAAACAAACATTTTGAGTTACTTTGAATATTATGTGTCTGCAAGGACCAAAAATACGAAGCAACAGTACACAACTGTATTCAACCTCACCTAACTTGATGTTTTTGAAACAGCTTGCTTTGGCGCCACTTAAACACACGGAAAACCCATGAGCGATGCGTAGTGTCCACTTTTACGAGATGCGGCGACCCTTACCACGCCGGCCCCGACCAGCAGACGTGGAGGCTGGCCGCTTAGACGGTTTGGTGGTTGTGGGTCGTCGTCGTCCACGCTGTATTTTACTCCGCACAAGACAGCAGTGCTGCCGTGAGGTGAGATATATATGATCGGCAAGGATCAGTGCCTCGTCGGTGTGCGACATTTTCTGGACGACGTGCTGTACGTCACTTACAGACACGTCCACTCCCTCGGCATGCAGCTCGTCGCACACAATAGAGGCCACGTCGCGTGTGTGCAGCCGCCTCCAAGCCACGTGGACAGCGTCTCCGATGACATTATCGGCGCTACTCCACTCGCCGTCATTCTCGGCAGCCACAAAGTGACGCCACGTCTTTGCGGCATTTATTTTCATCTGGCGCTCGAAAATCTCGGCCTCCAGCACGTCTGGATTCAGACGCTGAACCTGAATCTCCTCGACAGTTGGCCACTGGTCAGTGGGAATGTGCAGGTGATGTGGGTGTCTGACACGCGACACCACCACCGTCCAGAAGCCGGGCGTCTCTACCCACGCTTTCACTTTGGCCACCACTCGATCCAGCGTGGCGCCCTGGCCTTTAAAGCCGGTGAATGCGCTGCCGCCCTCCAGCGGCGGTCCAACACGAAACTCGGTCCGACTCTCTTCACCGCCGCCTATCGCCCGATTGTTTTTGCCCTTGTCACGGGCGCGCTTTACCATCCGTATTGGCACCAGATCGTCGGCATCTTCGATGCCGAGGATATTTGGGC